ATACATCAAACAGTTGTGGACAGGGAAGAAAAAGATAAGAGTGAAATTATTAAAAATTAATATATTAGATGGTTTTTCAGCAATTTTTGGCTTCTCTAATACATTGAATTCTGCAGGTCAGCAAAGATGTGCTTCAAATTTTCTTTGGATAAGCTGTTGCTGCTTTGCAGTCCTCTGACCAGCCAGAAAAGCAAATTCCAAAATGTCACATTTATTTTTTAAGACAGATTATTAGAACATTTACAGATAAGTCTAATGCAACTGATTTTAACTGTCAGTGTTGTCTTAAGCCATGGTAACCTCACATGTTACATTGAAGTGTTCTTGCTTTCCAGAGCGTGAGGACTAAAAATAGTCAGATGTGCTTTGGCTTGTAGTTGCCTGTGTCATTGTCATGGTGCCTCTGTTCTTGGTCTACCAGGTCCATTCTTGTTAGCAGGCAGTGTTGCATTTTATATACTCTTTCACTATGTCTGAGGTTTTACAGGGTTTCTTAACATAAAGCTTTTTTGTTGTTTTTGTTATTTTAAGTAATTTCCTTAAAAAACCCTACTTTATTAAAATTTCAACCGTTGCTTTTAGTAGATTGTAACTTAAGAACTTTACTGCTCAGGTTCATGCTGGAGGAGCTACAAGTCATGCTCCATAAGCTGTTGAAGTGTTTAAAGCAGGAAACTTTACACAGCTTATGCTTTTTAACCGCAAGGTTGAGGAACTCTTCTGTTTATGAAGTAAATTACAGAAATACAACAAAACAGTACTAGAATTATTAATAACAATTGTGGTTTTGTTTGGGTTTTTTTCTGGGATTTCTGTGGTTACTGTCTGTGCTGACTGCTTTTGAAGACATTGTTAAATGGTATCTGAATAAAATCTGATGGTTTGTTGGCCAACTCTTACACTCCTGTTCTTTTTCCAGTCTCTGTGAAGAAATATAGTTAATTATTGCAAAGACTGATCTAATACGTTACATTCAGTGTTGGTTTTCAGTTTTATGACAATTTTCAGTTATTCTGTCAGCAAAAGGGGAAATTTGAATAATGCCTAGTATGTTAAATTTGTGTCACACAGCAGCATTTTAAACTTCGTACACAACATGCAGGCACACACGAGGCACTTTATTCTGTAGTGTCGTACCCTTGAGAATCCAGCTCAAGTGTCTGAAGGTAATTTCTGCAAATGAGGCCATTTGTGCTCAGTCGAATTCTTGGATAGAGCCAGTTGACTCAGTTTGTAAATTCTGTCTCAGTTGATCATTCTGATGAAGACCTGATCCAAAAACACCATTGCTGCTGCCAGCAAGGTCATTTTTGAAGACTGATTATTTATTTATTTATTTATACCAAATAGCCCAATTGGCCTTTGCAGAGTGAGTACAGATGTGTACCACAGGTAGTTTTATTCCTCAGAGGTAGATAGTCCATATGGGGTTTTTTGTCTTTTTTTTTTTTTCCTTTTCTTTTTTCTCCTTTGATTCTTCAGGAGTTCCAACATATCATTGGACAGAGCATCAGTGATCCTCATTTTACGCTTTCGACAACTCATAATACTTAATTCAGTTTTTCATAGCGTGAGAGCTCTTTTCTTCCTTCTACTGATTCTCAGCTTTATTCCCCTGGAAGTTGAGGCAGTACACATGAATCTCACGTCTTTCCACATGTCAGGCCACATTCCAGAAACCAGAGAAGAAAATCCTTTCAATATACGGGGCAAAATAGAGAGGGAGAAAAGCAGCAAGCTGTGATTTCAGAATGCAGTCAGTTAACCACTGATAAACTTTTGAAGGGAAATATACTGTGGTCATTCTTTATTTCTAACTACCCTTGTTAAACTTTTTAAATTATTATTTCATTTGGATTTACAGGAAGGAAGGAGTTAGGAGGGAACTTAGCATCTTATCAATTGATGTTTTCATAGGAATAGATAATGGTTAGTGGATTAGGAAAGGTGTGGCTCCTTCTGTGTGCCGGTTATCCTTTTTCTTTCTTTCCAAGTCCTAATTTGGGCTGTTCCTTGAGAAGGTGTTCTTCACTTCATGAACCCAAAATAAAGTCAGTTTAGAGAAGGTAGAAACAGTTTTGCCATCTATTTGGAGCATCTGTTGTGTAATTTAGAGTCTGATGTAGACTTGATTGTATCCCACGAAAGTGTTGCTTTTAATCTTTTAGGAATTAATAGGTAAACATTTAGTCATAGTTGTGCTGAAATATTTCTGTATTCTGAAAATCCTTCAGTCTTCTTTTAGAATAAATATATTAAAATATCCTAGTTTATCCTTAAGGTAAGACATTTTAAAATGTGAGTTCTGTCATATTTTGTCATTCATTTTGTACCATTTTGGACATAGTACATAGTTTTTACTTGTTGCAGCTGTTGAGAAGATGTACAAACCAGCTTTGCACTAGGCCAGTCTGTCCTGGACAGAATTTATTTAGTAGTGTTTTATGGAATTTATTTGTTTGTGGTTTCTTTGATAGGAGTGACATGAAAGTACCTTACTAATACAGAATATGCATGAAAATGTGCAAATTTAAAATGTGTACAGTGTTAAAATACAGTGCAAGTAACCTTTTTCCATAAAATAATATTAATATATTTGTGTTTATTTCCACCAAGGATTTTGTGACTACAGTTACTCGTTTACTTGAAAGTCCTTCAACTTTTATTCGAGCAAAAGCCTTTCTGGTCCTGCTACAAGTTTTAATTAATAACAGGGAGATGTTGCTACTCAGTTGTCAAGCAAGGTAAGGTGAGAACAGAGCTAATTAGAGATGTAATGTCCATTTTCAAAGTTGTACCTGAAATCCTTGAAAATGTGTGGCATTTTTGAGACAGTGTTTTAGGAGTGAGCTATTTTCTGTGTAATAGGAATCCTTTTATTCATGAGAATGTCAAGAGTGTTCTCTTTTGTCTGAGGTCATCAGACAATGATTACTCACAAGGGGAAACCACTGGTTTACAGGGAGAGCCCATCTTTTAAAGTAACTTGTGGTCCCAGTGATCATTAGCAAGGAGCAGATTTTGCTTTGGGTGAACCATAACAAATACTGCAACAGTTGCTGCTATGGTATGAAAGCAAAATGAAAAGGTCTATCATGTACCCTCATCATCTTGGGGTGTGGTATAATCCATAGTCTTTTGCGTATAGGAACATTCAAGGTAAAATAATATTTCTTGGCTATATGTGTTGTTGGAGTGATTTATATAATGACCACCGAATTCCTGTGACTTTTACATGAAGTATTTTATTTGTTTCTATTTTTTCAAATACTTTGCAAGAAGTAACTTCTCTAAAATTATAGTTGACTCGCAGTGGAATAGTAATTTGAATTTTTGTGTCTTCTGATTGCACAAAAACATTCCCATATCAGAAAAAAAGGAAATTAGACTCTGTTAGAATGTAAGTTGATACCACGTTTCGGGGTTATTACTTACTTAGAGAAGTAAGATGGACGAAATTTTATTTGGGATTTTTACCTTCTACTGTTCATTATGAAGAACAGCAAAATGTAGTGTAAACCCAGTTTTTGTGGTATTGGAATAAAACAGGTTTGGAACTGAAAGTAAAAAAGAATGCGGCTTGAAGGTAGCTGTAAATTTAAGTACACTTACAGCAAATGTAAGTTTATATCTTATATTGATGTTTGAGAAGAATTAAGACATATGCATTGGAGCTAAAAGCTGAATTGGAAGGAGCAGATGAGCTACACCATGAAGCCATTGTGAGAGAACATCTTGTGGGGAGCTGTCATTATAGACCACTCCACTCACATACAAATCTGTAGATATCTCTATTTTTGTAGATCATAGAGAATAAGTACTGAATCCAAGTTTCTTTTCTATGTGTATCTTTTTATACTTCCAGAAATGTTTTATCAGGTGATGTGTTCTGGTTAATGAAAAACATCAGGAAAATAGAGTTACTAATGCTTTCATGACTATATATAGATCTGTACAATTCTCAACACAATGTTTAGTTGAACAGTACTATCAGGGAAAGAATAGTTATGAATATTTTTAGAAAATCTTTATGTGAAAGACAATTTTGTGATGGGAAGAACAAGACAATAAGAGAGAACTCTTAAGTTTATGTAAACTTTCTATCTTTCCTGTCTCAGAACAAATGAGGCTACTTTGTATGCTTCTCAGATGTGATTAACTAATAGAACGTGCTTTTAAGAAATGAACCCACTTCTCCATGCCCCGCAATAAAACCACTCATGGTGAAGTCTGTTCAACTGATTTTAAGTAAAACTTAAACAGATCTAAACATATTTCCATATAGAATCTGATGCTTGTTAAATCATGGAACCATTTTCTTAAAGGAAAAAAAAAATCCATACAAACTCTAATCTTTTGTCTTTTTTTTTTTTTTCCCCAAAGTTAAACAGTTTTTGAGTAAAAACTACGTGCTTGTCTGGAAAGGCTTGAGAGCTTTATACTATTTTAATATAAAATATTCAATTTTTTATATTAAAGAGACTTTTTTTTTTTTTTTAAGGAAAATGCTATTTGAAGTATAACGTCAGATGTTTAAGCAATTCTCTTCTACCAGACAAATCAAAATTCCTTGTAATTTATTACAATTTCCAGAGGTTGCAAGAGCAATAAAAGATGTCCCCATAGGCTGTAGGAAGTGCAGCTGAATGTGTTGCATCTGGGCTATTGCAGAGGGGAAAGGTAGTTCCTGAACAGATCTTTTTATTTCTCTCTACCTTTTTGTCTGTAGCACAGTTCAGGAAGGATGAGGTGAGTTGTGGTGTTCCATAACAATTATACATTGTTTAGAGGCCTAATCCTGCAAAATGCTTTCTTAGGTAGTTTTTTATTTTATTGAATAAACGGTCTTTTTGATGGAAATACCTTCTAGAATGAAATGTCGAGGTTGTGAGTCCTGCAGTTTTGTTGTGTGCACTTGAGGCAGTTTAAATAAGTTCTTTTCATACTTCTATAAATATGCATTGATTATAAGAAGAATATTGGGGGGAAAAAAAGATAATACTGAACTACATTCTTAAAATAGGGAGCATGGATTTCACTCACCTGTGTCTGACAGTTTTTTGTACAGGACCCCCAGGGAGCTTGAACGTGAAACAAAGATGTCAATATTATACCCCTAAAGGGAAGTCTGGGACTTCTGTCTATTCAAATGAGCATTTTAAAATATTGCCTGAAGCATTCTGTTACAGGTGTATTATTAAAGCCATCTCTTGTAAGCTAGGCAATGGCTAATAAATCAGTTACCATAGTTTACTATGAGAAATGTCATTCTGCAGAATGGCATAGCTACACAGCGCTTACCAGTTAGAATAGAAGCATTGGTTTTGTCTTTGGAAATCTTGAACACCAGATTTCTAGAGAAAGGATGTTGGATTAGTTTGCACTTTTATCTTTTTCAATATGGCAATTCTAACTCGTGCTAACATTTTGATAGACCAGAGTTTGATTTATCTAGTATGATTTTTCTTGACTGAAAGATTGATCTCTTGTTACATTAATTTAAATTATTCTTGCTTTATGAGTTCTTACATGTTGAAAATTAATGTCTTCAGTCTTTTGCTCATATTATGCATATTGGTCATATATGTCAAAATAAAGTGGATTTTAAAATTAACATCTGTCAAGCCTGCAAAGGGATTCACTCCTTATGTTAGCATCAGATATTCATTTAAACTAGTAGAGTTGCACTTACTTACGGTAGCTTAAGGGTTTCTTTCATCTTGTTCCTTGACACAACCATTTGTGTTATGTTAAAAATAGATTTATTTGAAAGGGAAAGTCTAAAATGGCAAAAAAATTACAGAGCCAAAACTAATGTATCGTCGTGATTATAACCACAGATACTAGAAATGTCTGGTTCAGTAGTATTTTTGAGATATAGTGTCATTTTTTTTGTTATGAGAGGTAATGTTTTGCACTTTCTTAAATGTAGACTCGTGATGTATATTGAAAGAGACAGCAGAAAGACCACACCAGGAAAAGAGCAGCAAGGTGGCAGTGAATACCTGTCAAAATGCCTGGATCTTCTCATCTATCACATAGTGCAGGAGCTGCCAGGAATTCTAGGTAAATTCAGTTGGTTAACTGAACAAATCTTACCTTTGCTTACTCCCTCAAGAAACAAATATTCCTTACCTATACAGGTGGGAAAGACTATTGTCTGATTACATAAAGTTAACATGATATCAGCTTCATGAAGTTTTTAATTATATCATGATCAGATATCTTGTATTGGAATGCATGATTTCCTGTATTAATGTTTTGTATTTGTTGAATGGTAAGCCCCATCAACTCAGTCAGGAATGAGGCCCAGATGTACAAGAAGTTTTATCAATGTCCTAAAAAGATTCCAAACATTGAAAAACCTGAGAGCAAATTTGCCTCATAAAGCACAGAGCTAGGAGAGGTGTAACAGGGCATATCTGTGAGTCCATGTTAATCACTCACACTGAAACTTTTATGTTGGGTATTTGCTTCAGGCAATTTTTCTGAAAAATTTCAGTCTAGATACTTCAGTTGTTCTAGATGTCTGAAACTGATTTACTCGTGTTTAAGAAAAGATGGAAAGATTTTCTGAGAGAACATCAGTGCTACCTCAGCCCATCCCTTATACTTAGGAATAAGGACTTGAGGTTTTTCATCAAAGTAGCTTTTGTGCCAAGGATATAAATTTAGACAATTTTATGAATGTCTGCTCAAATTTCACTAGTATTTGAGCCTTTGGAATGATGAAAAGCTACTTTGAACTTTGTGCTGTTCGTATATGTTCAAACAGAAATTTGCTTGAGTATAGCAGCTAAAGTCCTGTCATCACTGAATATGCTCAAACTTGTCATAGTGGGATGAGGTACTGAGGAAGAGGGGACTTGCAGAAGGAACAGTGAATGGCATGCATGCCAATAGGACAAATCCTGCAAATTGCAGGGCATAATTTGGACTCACTAGGCAACCAGAGAAGAAACAGGAGTAGAAAGAAATTAGTTTGAGAGTCTGAAGAGTCAGTCAAGAGAAGGTGATGAAATGGGATAAGAATTTTGGCCATTAATACAAAGGTAATAGATAAAATCTTGAAAAATGAAGGTGGCTCTGTTGGTGAGACTTGAAGATAGGGTTGATATTGAATAATAGAAATGTCACATAAATTACCTTAGATGAGTAAGAACGGTAGGATTGTCTTTCCTGGAAAAAGCTGTGAAGTATGTTATATGAGAGAAGATGAGGGTTTTTTGTTTGAAAAAGTTAACTAGGAGCAATTGAAGGAAGAAAGGGAAGAAGGGAAGGAATGGAGTTAGGGAAGAAAGAGGAAGGGAAGTAGGAGGAGGGAGAGATGAAGGGAGGAAAGGGTAGGAAGAAAGAGCAGGGAAGAGGAAGAGAAAAAAAAGGAACTGAGTGGAGGGAAGGGCAGAGGGGGAGTAGGGATGGAGCAAGAGAGGGGGAGGGCAGGGTGGAGGGAAGGAAAGACAGAGAAAGGAGAAAGAAGGAAACAAGAAGGGAGGAAGGAAAAAGATTGGTATGACCAGTCTGAGTCATCATTAAAATTGTTATTAAAGCTTCTGGCTGGTGAGATCTTCCACAGAATAGAATAAGAAAGCTGAATAGGAAGACAGGAAGGAAATGCTGTGTGTAGTAAAGAAAAGAAAGGGAGCAAGGTTGGTAGACCTAGTGTCATGCTGGTATTATAAAAGAAACTTTACTTCCTATGACAATGCAAATTTTTGCCTTGCTGCAAATACCTGATCCCCTTTTTTCTAAACAAATGTCAGGTTCACATATTTGCTATGTTTCAGGATTTGGAAGTCACAGACTATAAGGGTTCGAGGCAGTAATTCACCTCCTGCTGTCTATATGTACTATATTCCACTAATATAGGAGGCTTTGATATTTCCTCAGAACCTGAAAGTATTATGCATCAAAGATACCGCTACAATCATTATAATGCCTAGTACATCAATTGCTTGTATTCTGCTGGGTTTTTTTACTCCTGATGTACAATTTCAATGTATTGTTGACAACTGATATATCAAACAAATTTTTTACACTTTCTTTACCTTTCTAAGCTAGATTAGTGTGTTGATTTTTTTTTTTTAATTGTTAAAGCTATCTGTCCATATTTGCCCACATTTGTCAAAGGCTTTTTCTTTTTATTGCTGTGAGTATGACAAAGGAACACATCCTGCTTGAGGAGGTAAAAGCCATGGGCTCCTGAGAAAAATAACCAGTTTTTCAAAGCGGAACAGTTAAAAGCTGGCTTTTTTAATATGCATTTATGTAAGCTCCTTACTGATCCCATCTTCTTCCACCAGATGTAGCTATAAACCAAATATATTAAGAAGTTGTAGAAATTGGCTCTAAAGATACATCTAAACAAATGAAATAAATTGTTAATCTTGTGGATAATTAAAAAAAAAATCAGTTGCTCTAGGTAAGAAATTAAGTTTATTTATTCATTTATGATATTTAACTCATTTCTAGGAAGTAGATATAAATTGCTTAGATCATGCTAAAAATTAAAGTAACCATATCTATCTATTTATCAACTGTAAAATTGGCAAATGTGATGATTACATAGGCCTTAAAACACAGAAAGAGAGTATATTGTTCAGTAAATTATTTGTTGCTAACCACAGAGAGGTCTTGTTGAATTACAGGATTATGAGTAATTCAAAACAAAAATGCATCGATGAAAAAACAAATAGTTGATGTATTTGGAGAGTTTTAGGCAATGCTTTTTTCTTTTTTTTGAGCAGCACATTATAGAATGAGTCAAATCTTTGAGGCTCAGTATTTTTACAACCTGCTCTAGTGCCAGGCTCTGTCATGCCTGCTTATTTTGAAAATTGAACTCCATGGGAGCAGAAGAAAAGCACTGGTATTATTCAACATGAATAAACCCTGTGACTTACCCTGAAAGGAAGGGCCTTTTCTGGCATGAAAACGGTATAAAATACCAAATCTCATCCTTTATTTCTTTAATGTCTATGTGATTTCCCTTTTGCAGTTTTGTGCAGCTCTCTCATTAGGGAAAAAAATACAGTAAGTGTTCTTTCAAGACAGGATTTGGCTTTTAATATTTTCAAGCTGTAGCAACAGAATTTACCTTCTTTGCATATGAGTTGTGACTTTTCTCCTGCTGCTTCTGTCCTTTATCCTGTGCAGAAGGGGTCTTGCTTTTCTGAGACAATAGTTAATGTAGTACAAAATTAGCATAACGCTCCTTGATTTTTACGTCTCTTCTGAATTTTGAGGTATAATTTTCACTGTTGCAATTAAAATTTAGTTCCCTCTTTATTGTGTCTGAGGTTTGTTATGGAGGGAACTAAGTTCTCTTGTTGGCCTGCTGCTACATCTTTCATGAGAACATGAGAATTCCTGTTGCCTTAGGTCACTTGCATCATTGTTAAACTTGTGTATGAGAATGCGTGTGTGCATGGCTGGTAGAGGGATCTTTTGGAAATAGGAGAGTTTTGTTTCTTCCAGTGGAACTATGCTGCAGGAAAAAAAACATACTGCTTGAGCATTATGTCACCTACTAATCCAGCTCTTGGTCAGATGGAAGTAATGAGAATTTTACTTTTTATTTCACTGGAAGTAGAATTGCATCCACAGAATTTCAAGAGTATAATGCCATGCATACATAGCTACCTACAGCCGATATAAGTCCACTCTGCCAAAAAGGGTAATTTCATCTTTGCTTCTACAGCTGCTTTATATTTCTATCCTCACTGTTTTGCTACAAGTCACATTTGAACGCCTGTCCCTGTAGCCAGAGCAGGAAACTGGCCCGGCTGAACATTGAGTTGGGAAAGACAAGTGCTGGATCAGCCTGATTTATTGTGCAGCCACGTGAATTCTCAGCAGGAGAGAGAAGATGGGATTGAACGGAGGATACTGGAACCGAGATGTTTTATACGTCATTTGCTGTTGTTTAGTAAGGCAATTATGTTGGATCAGTCTGAAATGTTGTTTCCTGTAGGTGACATTCTCGCTGCCTTAACTAATGTATCTGGACGTAAACACCCATCAACGGTTCAGGCCAAACAGCTGAAGATGTGCCTTCCCATGATGCCTGTAGTGCTTCATCTTGTAACATCCCAGGTAGATTTTTCGCCCCCCTCCCCCAAAGATTGTTAAACAAAAGACAAACTGTTGCAGTGTCCCAAAATCTAATTTCTGCTGATCAGGATCAGAATGGATAAAATAGAACTTTTATTATTGTGTAGATGTGTTGATGAGTATTCCAGCTATTTAACAGGATTAAAGATTTAAGCCTTATATTTGCACATTGTAAGACAACTCTGATGATAGAAGCAAATAAATTTTTTTGTCCTCGTTTTTTAACATGGCTGGGAAATACATGTTTTACTTTTTCTGGTCATAACGTGTGCATTTAATTTAATTTTTTCAACTTTTGCTAAATTCAAATAGGTATTTCGTCCCCAGATAGTCACAGAGGAGTTTCTTTTCAACTACGGAACCTTACTTGTGAGTATAACCATCTAAATTAAATCTTTACAAAATTTAGATATGCATAAAATTTGGGGAATTATTTTAATGTAAAATTATTTATATTAAATTTATAAATTGGAGAGAGAATTTTATTCTGAATATAAAATTTAAGCTTTGATTATATTCTAAACTGTGTATATTATCAGAAAATATTTTCTGTAGTAATCAAAGAAAATATTTTCTGTAGTAATCAAAGTAGGTCAAAGGGAAAACATGCTAGCCTGTGTTCAAGTATAGAGAAACTCTGCATTTCTGATAAACTGAGAATTTCCTGTGTGTCTTATTTTAGAGTAGAAGAGTTTAGCTCCAAATTACACAGAATATTCTTTCTAGATGTTTATGCTAGTATTTTATGAGTAGAAAGGAAAGATAAATTATAATCTAATCTATATTTAAGGTATTTCCTTTTGTCAGCTTTTTCTTCTTGCCAGTACTTTTACACTGTATTCAGTTGATTAAAAGCTGATTATTGTAACCTACAGAACTAAGATATTTGTCTCATATTAACATCTACAACCTATTTATGACATTAGCAATAGAAAATGAACTTTTTAGAATTTATTTATGACATTAGCAATAGAAAATGAACAGTGAAATGGCCAGATTAAAGTTTACTGTTCAGGTTCCATTCTCTTGACTCTTGATTTCAAGAAAATGTGGGTTTAATTTAGCTCTATGAAAATATTTTAATAAAAATTAGCATTAGAATGAAGAAAGAAAAATTAAAACTGTAGATATTGAATTACAAAGCCTTTTGTCTCTCTAAAGCATTTGTAACTAGGCAGTAGATTTATTAGTGGTTTTGAATCAACCTTCTAGAAGGTGAAATTTTTCTGTCAACAATGTAGGTACAGCAGACCAGGTACAATGTAAGTTTTCTTTTGATGTTACTCTGACTTGCTTGAGTTACTGACTGAGGAAGTCAGGCTAGGTACACTAGCACAGCTTTCCTCTCAGATCAAGGAAGGAGATTACTGAATATTTCCTGCATCTTGTCCTTCTGTCTCCATCGAACAAGGCAATTCAGGAATTTACACATACTATTTCAATTTACGCATTAAAAAGGGAGGGGAAGTAGTATATCTGAAAAATTATTATAAAATTTGGATCCATTTCATAGAACTGTGTTATGAAATCAGTAAAGAAAATACTTCTGGAGGAGTAACTATCCATACTACCAGGCAACAGTCTACTCTGGAATTTTGTGTTTAGCAACATTCCTACTGACATCTGTAAAGGGACATTCAGTCATCAGCTTGTACTTTTTCAAAGTACTGTGCTATAATGGAGGCCTCTAAGACTTTAGCAAGTCAATCTTTCAGGTTTTTTGGTTTGGTTTTGTTTTTTTGTTTTTATTTTTTTCCTGATTTATTAAAAAATCTTACTCTTAACAATAAGAAATTATTAGGAGTGGAAAGATGAGTGCTTGGTATCTGGAAGGAAAGAGTAGTTATTTTCCTGTAACTGTTGTTCATTGAGAATTTTTTTTTCTTGCTGCTTTGAAGTTATTTCCATCATCACTGTAATTTTCAGTACTGTTGTGCAAAGAAATTGATAGGGGGTCGGGACAGTCCTTTCATGTTTTCAGCTGTGAATAGAAATACATGGAGGACACGCTCTGCCCCAAAGGCACAGCTAATGGTAGGCTTCTAGCAGAGTGCATAGGGCAGACACTCCTGTGGCAGAACAAACACACCATTTCTCTCCATTGCTTAGTAAACCCCAGAGAGTTGTTGTTTTTGTATAAATATATCTTCTTGTTGTGTTTCTAATATAAAATTAAGGAAATAAGCATTAGTAACCAGAACAATTTTTGCACCAGCTATATTGACTTTTCCAAACTGGTCTTGAGACTATGGTCAGATGTGAAACTGTCTTAAGTGAGCAAACAAACTAATACTCTCTTCCAAAACAAGTTGATTAGATAATAACTAGTAATTTTCTTCAAATGGTCATGAAGATAAAATAACTGTTTTTTTAATAGAAGCAGTTGTTTTTCATTACTGCTTCTGAGATGTATTTAAACTATGAAATGTATAGTTTCTAACTGTATTTTTAATTAGAGAAGAATCCTTCGGATGTTTCTTACATGCTGAGAAAAAGATAACCCATGTAGACACTTCTGCCAATTTAATGTATAATAACAAAATTTTAATTGATAGTGAAATATAAAACAAGCATCATTTTCTTAATGCTTTATATCATAAATAAATAGATATGTGTGCAAATTTAAAATGAGAAAGATGTTTATCCATGGTAAATTCTCTGTGTATTGAATACTACATTGGTAAAAAAAGCATAAATTCTGCTGAAAATTTTTCTTTCTTTAGCAAATGTTAATAAAGTATTTTGCATCCCCCATGAAGTTAACAGCTATGCATATAAGTGAAAGCAAAAGGGTGAAATCAAGATTAAAAGGCAAAAGAATAATGGGTCTAATTGTATGATATTTACTTAACCCAGATTATTAATATTTCATTGTCCCAGCTCCTCAAAATTTTGACTCATTTAGGTGATTTTTAATAGAAGGTTATGCATTTTAGTATGTTCTCCTGTGTGTAACTGTATCCATAGTGTGTATAGTATGCATGGAGCTCAAAATGATAGTACAAAACCCAAAAAAATGTATTTTCGGGGGAGTCTTTGGTCTTTTTAGTGAGTCACTTTAACATAGCCATATCCAAGGTAGTTCAAAGTCTTAGAAATTACAGTTTTCTCTTAACAATAAAGAACTTTAATTACTGTCTATTTATCTGGAAATGTTTCATTCCTGACATCAGTCAGAGTAATAGTCTTTGCTATACTCTATGTTTAAGTGTCCAGCAGCATTACAGACTTGCAAAATTATAACAGATTGTTCATGAATGCTTTCAGTCTGTCATATCTTTATTATGACAGTGTTTCCTAATGTAAATGCATTAACATTTTGTATTTACGGTCCCTTAAAAAATTTCATTTTGTAATTAGTGATTATGCTTCTTAATTTTTGTTTCTAAAGTGTTTTAACATAAGTGTCTCTTCTTCTGTAGAATTTTATTAGATTGATAGATTCAGGAGAAACAAACTTGGATGGAGCAATAGGTAAGGTAACCTATGATATTGCTGTACTTCTATAAGCAGGCATTGTAACTGTTGCATTTTATAAAGAAACATAATTATTTTTATTAATAGGGCAAGCTGCATCAGAAGAATTTATTAAGACTACTTTATCAACCTTTGAAGCAGTAACACAACATCCTGTCTTGCTGACAATCCATCGCTTGACTGTAAGTCTGACAACAAATTAAACAGTTGCAGGCTAATTGGCCTTAATTCCATTGATAATAGAATGTTCTGAAGATTTAGAAACTGTTTAAATTATGGCTTAAAATGTATTGTGGTTCTATTTGACAGGAAAAATCCTTATTGTTTATAGAGAGATTTAATTTTCAAAGAAGGAGAAAGGCATTCAGGCCGAGGTTTCTATATTTAGTTGAGAAGTTAGAGGGAGAATGAGAAGGGCTTAAAGTTTAGAAATAACAGTTCTTAAAATTATTTTTCTGTAAATATAACACTTGATTCTATAAGTCTTTCTTCAGCCTCAAAGTGAATATGTTGCTATATATCAGTGAAAATTTCACCGCTTCATTTGTCATTATCCTTTTAACATAGCTTGGAAAGACCACCTCTGAGGGCTGAAGATCCCAGTCCATCAATACTCTTCCTGATGAAATCATCATCAAGAGTAACAGTTTATAGCAGTTATGGTGGGGATTTTTTGTTTAAGTAAAACAAATTGCTTACTTAAAATTTCATTACAGTTACCACACCCACATACTGTATGCTTCTTACATCACTAAAGATTTGTTTTCTTTGAAGTTTTTCGTTAGATGGTTTACTTTGAGCTAAGCTAGCTGAATCCAGAACAGTGACGTTGTGAAACTGTTGATGGCAAACCAGTAGGTTGGAATGCTTGAATTGGTGATTGACAAATCATTGTAACCTGTACCAGCACATTTTTGTGCCTGAATTCCTACCAAAAGTGTAACCCACCATACTTACTGTGGTGACAATTTAATTCAAACTGACATTTATGTATTTGTATTGGAATTAGGTTAAAGGCACACTCAATATAGCACTTAAATTGAGAAAGGCGTTAGCAAATTGATAAATTCATAAAAATGAGTGATCTTAAGGATTGTGCTAGACAAGAATGAGTGATCTTGGAAATTAATTGTTTTCAGAAGCTAAATCCTATTTGGTGTGTTAGTTGAGTATTTAGATTATAAAGCCTTAGTAGGTGAAAATATTTAAATTAGTAAAAAATTTAAATAGGAATTTAAATAAGTTTAATGTTTATTTTCATTAATGCTCATGAAAAACTGGTATTCAAGAAAATGGTCCTTATGCACAAAAATCTAACTAATTAATAGTCAGAGGGGAAATAGTGCAGAACTAAACAGTTTGACTTACTTTAATATGACAAAGGATATTCTAGAAAAGAAACATAAATGTAGGTGAGGTGTGAATACCTATTGGTATCTCCTTACATGCCTGTCAGCTTAGGAGTCACTGTATTATGACTGTATCATTCTAGAATCACCTCAGCTTTTAAAAATAATTGTTTTACTTCTGTGGGTTGTCAGTGTGTCTTACGTTGAAAGAAATATGTACCAGTTTTTATGGAGGTCCATCAACATTTACTGAAATTGCAATACCTTGTGTCAGCACATTAAATTCCCCTAGCTGGTTAAACTTTAATGGTCCATGGCTTTTCCCCTGAAAAAAAACAGCGCCAAGAAGACAGCTCCCCTTTCCAACCTTCTTTACCTGCTCCCGTCCCCTCATTCCACAGAACATTGTATTGAAGCTGGGGAATTACTGTCCCACTTGCTTTTAAGTAAGCCCTGGCTACCAGTAGGTGAATTTAGTTAACCTATTTACATATCTGGGGAACAGTTTACTTCATCACGTATGTTGAAAGTCTCAGGTGTTTATTTAAAATCCATCTGAACACACCGGTTAACCTTATGTAGCTAGAGAAAAAATTTCCTGCCTATCTAGTGCTTGTGAGTCTGTAGCACACGGCACTTTTGTAGAATAGTTTCCCTGATTTAGAATAGTTTTGTTTTGAAATTTATTAACTAAAAATAATTATATCCCTGTCAATGAATATTTTTTTTGAGAAAATAAAATCTGTTACTTACTTGCTCATTTTCGTAAGTAACTGTTCTTCCTAATTTAAAAGAACCCTCCGAACACTCAGCAAATAGCCATTCACACACAAAATAAAGTGGAGAAATTGCCTTGTATTTGGTATGTTAAATTCAAGAAATTGTCCACTGTAATTAATAATTTCTAACCACATCTGCCACTAGTGGTGCAAACAGTAATTAGTTTAATACTATTTACGAAGTCTAGTGTGCTAATTATACTTGAATGTACAGCATACATTACTTTAGTGGAAAGTGGTACTTCATCTTCTATGATGCATACAGAATATTTTTAGAATTGCTGTTACTCAAGGGATGTCTTCTAATTGCTGCTCGCTGAGCATGACTAGAATCTATGAATATAAATGCCAGCACCCAGTGGAACTTGGTTCTTTTTTTAAAAGTTGAAGCAAGACATATATGAGCTTCCAGATCAATATTTAAGTATAACAGTGGTTAATAGGAAACTCTTTTACTGGAAAGAAACGTGTATCCTAGGCTGATCTCTGAAGCCTGGATTGCTCTTTTAGACACAGTTGGTTACAAACAGCATTTTATAGAGTGGGCGGAGGGAAGGCACTTCTTGAGAGGATTCAGTTTTTTTTCCACTACAAGTGTGACATTGCTTTAAAGTTTCTAATCAGAAATTAAATGCATTTCTAATAAAGTTTAACGAATTTAATAAAAATTGAGGTTATGTTAAGTAAGCTGAACCAGTAATTTTTTTTCATTTAAGTTCTGTTTTTAGTTTAGCTGCAATAGGAAAAGGGGAAGTTAATAGGAATTTAAGAGCAACATTTTAGGTTCTTTTCCACTTTGAGAAGAAAAGAATTGCTTGTTCTGGGTTTTAGTTCATGTTTGATTTGCCTTTATATTTGTGCCTTGAACAAAGAAAATGGAATAAATTGATTTTTTGTGACCAAATTTCTGATTACCATCAACCTGAAGTCAGTTATTGAGGAGATTCATTTCTGTGGGAACAGACTGTATCATATATTGTGAAGTGCGATAAAGTCAAAGGAAATGAATTGAAAGTGCTCAAAGGAAAGCCAGTAGTGAGCAGTAATTTCATTTTACATACAGTTGTGTGCATTTTTACAAGATAAAAAGTAAAGACTAACAGTAAGTGTGACTCAGCAAGTTTTGACAAAGCTGTAGATTTCCAGGTATGCAAATATGATGATGAAGGCCGTCAGGAAGAGTCTCTAAAGATTGGAGTGGAATATAAACCCCAGTTTCTGAAACTGACACAAGTCCAACTGCCTGTTTCCTCCACATACCTAAAATGGAAAAATATTTATTAAATTTTGATAATAAGTGTTATAACAATATTTATTTTCAAATGTGGGTAAAGGTTTAGATATAATTAAGTGGAAGAATTGTGTGCTGACTATATCATTTGCATTTTTCTTTTCTCTGTTAAGTATATTTATTTGTCTGAAAAAAGGACATATGCTAATTCAGAGCACTTTGAGCAGTGGTGAGGTTCATGATGGCAGGCAGTTCCTGTGGGAGTCCTTTCTCTATTCTGACTAGCTCCCAAAAATGATCTGTATGCTGCACAGATGATCTTTTACCTGAAGCATGAAAGTTCGCTGGTTGAGGCCAAAGTTGTCAGCAGTAATTCTCCTCCTCAAGATTTTAAAACTTATTGTTAAAATTAGGCTAAAATAAAAGCACCCCCAACATGATGAGTTGCTTGATAGGAAATCAAGGGAAAAACAGAATGACATGGAAATCTACAGGTTGACAGTATAAGAGTTATTATTTTCACCAAAGATGACAACACAAGGGTTAGAAACTTCTGCAAGTGCTTTTTTCTGCTCATCTTAGTCTTTTCTTGATTCAGCATCAGTGGTGTTCTTCATCCACAGGCTGTTCTGATCTAACCACTGACACCTTAATTATGTCAGTGTAAGGGTATGACTATATGAACGTTGTACAGCAGTTCTTCCATCACTTTCTCCTTTCAAGTAGATTAAAATTCTACACCCCATGTGGCTTTCTGTCCATTATGCTAATCCATACGACATGCGACTTTTTTGTGAAACCAGTTCTGTACTAATTGACATATTGGGTCAGTCAATCAGTGCTGTCTCTTCCCAGAAGTAAGAAATAAAAAACACCTCAATGAAGATTCTGAAGTTCTGAAGACTTTTCAAAAAAGATTACAGAAATGTCATCCTTCTCACCAATTAATTCTAACATGCATTAGATTATTTTTTCTATCACATTCTGAGAGATTACCAGCAATATTCAAACACTGAGGAGCATGCTGTGCCTCCAGCAAATGTTTTAAGAAGTTTGAAGGCAGCATGATCTTAATTCCATGGTCACTTTCAGCATTAACTTTGTATGTGGAATTTAATGAGAATAAATGTCAAGGTGATGTTGGATGTTGTGGATCTTACATGTGACTGGGGAAAAAGGGTTTGGAAGCTGATGATATGTTCTGCTTTGAATAGTGGATAAGGAGAAGATATTTGTCAATAGTTGTAAGTTAAACATATGCACACTGAAAAGAACCAGATACATCTAGGAAAAACTCTGAAAGGATAAAGTGATGGACTTAGTCACTTGCAAGTTTGGATACAATAGCTGCATGGAATGGATGGAATAGTTTCTTTATGTAAGTTTAATTCCTGGGTCTGATTTTCCCTGGAGAACAGCATGATTCACAAATGCTATTGGACCAGGCTTTAAGCCTGTTTACTTTTTCTGTCTGGCCAGTATAACGCCAAATGTCAAGACTTTGGCCTTAAGATTTGAAGAGCTGAGAAAGAGTTTTAATCAAGGGATTGATTTTTTTAAATTGGTAATGTTAGCCATATTAAGGTCAATTCTGTGACCTTGAGAAGAGGCTTAAGCTATCCCTACAGACATAGCCTAAATTGTAAGGAATAACAGATGAGTTTGGTTATATGCTAGTTCATTAATACATGATGTTTGCATGTATACGTTGAATAGTTGAATTCATCCTTGCTGACTAGCACAAGTGAATGGAAGGTTAGTTCTCTGTCATCATTCTTAGGGGATACCTCCCACTAAATAGAGATTTAGTGTATCGGATCCTCCCACTGTGGGCTCTTGCAGTATTATAACTGCTTTTTAGTGGTACTTCTGGAGCTTGGACTTTGCTTGGTGAGGTTAAGTAAAGCCAAGGCAGTGTTGGTTTGTTTCTAAAAAAGCAGATACAATATATTTAGGGTGCAGGCTTGTCTGACATCTCCTGAACAGTGGAGAGAAGCAAAGAAGGACTGAAATTACAGTTTTATCTTTCAAGACCTTCCTAGTAGCTGATGAATACTTAACTACTCTGACACTGTGGCATCTCTCTCTCTCTTCTGAAGGTTCAAGTAACATACAGAGTTTGCAGAAGAATTTCTATAAAATTTGTGCCTTGTTTTCAAAAGATCTGAGTTTTGTAAGTAATAAAATACTGTAGAAAAGTGAGTACAGCTTTTTCTGAGTGCTTATACCTCACTAATAGAGTTTTCCTTGCAGAAATCAGTGAACATTATAGAGACAGACGTTCTGGTTTTGGATAGTGTACTTGGATTTCCAAAATGATTTTTACAAATTCATGCACCGAAGACTCTTCAAATCCATCAGTGGCCCTTCTCTCTTACCCTCTGACAGATAAGCTTCTAACTAGTTAAAATTTACTAAGTAGAGAACAACGATCAGTTTTAAAAAAATTAGGTATATTAAGAATGGTGCCTTACAAAAATCTGTGTTGCAACATGTGCTATTTATAACTAATGCAGAAAAGAGAATGAATAGGAAGGTGACAGAACTGACTGATGACATTAAATTATTCACAGTAGTGAAAATTAAAACTGACAGAAGAGTTGCAGAAGGTTTCAAGATACTGAGTGAAAGGACAATAAAATGACATGCAATTCAATACGGATAAATGTCAAGTGACACACATGGGGAAAATCATTCCAAGTATGCTTATGCAGTATCAGGCTCTAAACTACTTGTAACTGTTCTGGAAATCTTTTAGTATCATTTTTCTATGAAAATTATAGCTTCATACTCAGCAGTAATCAGAAAGACAACTAGATTATTAAAAATGACTGGTAAAAGATCAGACAAAAAAGCAGAAAACATCATTATGCCATGGTAAGTCTGTGGTGCCCTCAAGCCTTGAATATTGAATGCAGCTGTGGTCATTCACTCTCAAAGGGAATGAAGCTTAACAAGGAAAACTACAGCCCAGTGATGCGAAGAGAGACTGAGTAGATAAGAACTTCAGCTTTGAAACAAAAGACTTGAGAGTATAAAATTATAAAAGGCATGGGAAAGATGAATTGGGAATAGTTGTTCATGGCTTTCATAAAATAAGAATAAGTGGGCATCAAGTTAGCGGCTTTAAAATAAACAAGGAAGTGCCTTTTTGTAAAGCATAATTGAAATGTGGAATTCAGTGGTATAGGTATTGCACATGCTAAAAGTATAAATATATTTGAGATAGGATTGGGCAAGTATATGGGAGAAAAGGCTAGTAAGCATTATAAATGCAAAAATACAGTGTCAGCTTAGGAAGTTTCTTAACTCAAGAGTTACTTTACTAGAAACTAGAGTTGTGCTTTATGCTTCCTCTATTTCTCTGACTTTTTCTACTCCTTTCCAATTGTCAGAAACAGAATTACCAGGTAATTTTTTAAAAAAAAATTTTTTTTTTTTGGTCCTGTACACATGTATTGTAGCTGGGAGATGTGAATGTAGCGTATATGGAAGTTTCTAGTATTTCATTGCTATTTTGGATACTGATAACAACACCGTTGTGGCAGCATCGCCTTTGAATGCCATCATTACAGAATGATACAATGATGGCTTTGTGCAGCTAGGGATTTGTTATTAGCTGGATATCAGGCTATTTAGAAGGTGGTAGAAACTCAGATATAGCTGTGATCATATTTAAACTATCTAGTCTGTTTAGGCTTAAAGAAGAATATTTCCCACTTTTTTTTTGTAAGCAATCTTAGTGATAAAGACTGAAACAAGAAAAATATCTGACTACCTTGTGCTGGGTTCAGCTGGTATAGACCACCATCATTTAAAAGAAGAAAAAATGAATCCTTGTTTGAGTATTCTTCTATTTGTTTCAATCCCTCTAGAAAATGCCAAAATACTAATACCATGCTTCTTTATATATAATTTACAGGTGAATTATTAAAATATATTGTGTACTATTACACTTCAGTTTATTTCAGCTCAGTAATTGCTTGCTTAATTCATACCTTGTTTACAGATTTGTGTACGCATTAGTAAAAAAACAGTGACCCAAATGGCATGGAGAGGAGATGAGGGTTGCAGGCTTAGGAAGTATCTGATTTAAAGTTCATGTACAGTTTAATACTCGCTTCTTCCTTCAGCATATGCATTCTGATAAACTCTTGCATCACAAAATAATTTTTCATAGGATTAGTGCTTTATTTGGTTGATCTCCCCACCACACCAAACCGAAATGAGGCAAAAACCTGCTGTGAAGAATTCAATTCTAAACAGTTTGTTTGCCAAAATTGAGGTATGTGTTAGAAAAAGGTCAGAAAAAGCTGCTACAATTATTTAAGACCTAAAGAATTGTCTTTACAATGACAGTTTAAAATATATTTATCTTAGAAAAGACTTATGACTGGCTTAACTACAATAACTTATGTGGCAAGACTACTGTTAATACTAGATGAAAGTGAAAGAAGATTTGAAGGTTCTGAAGTTGAAGTTGCATCATACTGCTGTATGCTGCCATCTTAATTGGTATCAGTCTGAGTCAATGCTGCTGTGTGATTCATAAATATTCTGAGTCCCTATGTCACTTTGGACAATTGAGAGCTGCTTTTTTGCCTCTTTTCTGTCTCACACCTTTAATTTACCACTTAAATGTGCCTTTTCATTTGAGAAGCATTGCAGTAGGATTTTTTTTTTTATCCTACCTCCCAGGTATGTTATAACTGGTAAGTCACCATTTGTAGAACAGTTTAGAAAACTGCACTAATGGAGTTGTTGGAGTGCAATGTAGTTTTATTATTTATCTTATTGCATAGTAACTGAAAAGACCATGAAATATTTCAAAATGATCAAGTGTTACAGAAGTCACTACATCTATGATATATAGCACTATCTGTGGAGGTGTAAAGACCACTTGTACTTGCAAGAGTAGTTAGACTTCTATACCTCAAGCAGAGTCCTTTACCTCTTTTATTGAAAGTGTGTAACAAAGGCACCTTTTAGTAGTTTTTTTCAGAAGTGAAAAAAAGCTGGACTAAAGGAATCCCCTAACATCAGAGATTAATTTAACAGAGACCACCAACCAACAATGAAATAGCTGCTAATTTTAGTTATTGCTGCCTAGAGGCTGACTGTGTTTAGTGACCCCTTTTCATATGTACTTTCAGCTTCTGTAGATGTTTCTTAATAGTAGCTGCATAACTCCAGAAAAAATTCTATCTTCTAGTATCAATCACTGAAAGAAAACACATGGGGGATTGTAATGCAGTCTTGTTACACCATATCCTGTCCACAGTGTAGTGATAACCTGCGCAGTAATTTTATTTGTATAAATAAATCCAAGGACAAGCTGTGTATCCATGATGCATACTTAAAAATTGCAGGGCTGTCCGTCCATCCTCTTCCCAAAAACAAAGCATGGCCTGTCTAAATAAATGGTATTTTACCAATGACTTAAGACTTAGCAATTCATTCTCTTATAGAGAATACTAATAGTACACTATTTTTGTAATATTAGATATATAAAACTGAGTTATAATCTAGTTTACCATAAGATGATTTCAGATGGAACCAAGATGACTAGTCCTGTGACATTATTAATGTATAACAGTACAGTCATGGACAATAAAAAATTGACTGGATTATTTTTTTCATATTTCAAATCTTAAGTCTCTAAATTTAATTTTTAATGGAAGGCTGTGTCTGACAAGAATGGAAGAAGTTACAATTTTATCAAGAGTCTCTACTAAGCTTAAGGATATTCATTAGAGGTAGTAGATCTTTCCAGATGTATTTTAGTTCTATACAGGTTTGTTCTAGAAGGACATTTCTTCTGAACTCTGTTTGATGATTTGTTTATGGGTTAAAACATCAAGATTAATAGTTATTCTAACACTCTTTTTTCTTAGTATCTTATGTCTGCACTGAATATTGTATTTTAAGTTAAAATTCACTCTCAACGTATTATACCTAAGCTACTGTTTTTTTCTATACAAAAGTACATTACTGTCTGTAACTTTATGACAGCTTACAAGAAAAACGTTAACTTGATGGCTTTGTAAGTGTGATTATGGATGAATTTCCATGATTATTCTTCTCTTTGATTAAGGGCTCTAGCAGTGGAATAAACATAGATGATAGTGTATCTCTGTTCTATTTTTTTCCCCTGTGAGTAATCTAAGCCAGATCTTTCTAATTTTCTGTTTTAGGTTGAAGACTGTGTCCTCCCACCACTAGTTTCTTTGGTCCACAGTCAGAATGGTAAGCATATAGCCACATCAACTAGTTTCTATGAATTCCACATTCTGTTTTAATTAGACTTCAGTGTGGTCACATTCTTGGCACCTTTATTTTCAAGTGGAATGGAGACTCTTCAGCTTGCGGTTGCTCTCAGAAACCACATCACTGCTTTTAAGCCACGAGGTCATGGCTGAGGAGAAAGGGGAGAGCCTCGACTCAAACAGCAAGCTTCTGTCTCTCATTAGAGATTCATTGCTGCCTCAGTAAGTATAATATTGCTCCTGTAGTGGGAAATAACTTGATGCTCAATCCATTTTGACAGTGTATTTGTTTTAACTACCCTTTTTATGTTTAAATGGCAAAACAAAAAGAGGAATAGCTATTAACTGCTGCCAGAGTTCGGTGCCCAACATCTCTCTCCTAGGTTTATTTCATACTTTGTCATATACAACACATACACAATTTCTGTGTGACATTCATTTCTGATACTGTGCCTCTGGCAGCTCTTGGAGTGAAACAAGTTTCCCCTAGCTTTTGAGCTGTGATTTAAATACTCCTCTTTGTCCCTCTAATAAAGTCAGAACATTCTAACAGCGACATCTTTTTGTCTATTTTGGATATTGTGCCCTCATGTAAGATGTTCTGAAATCATATGGAATGGCATATAACTTTTTAAAAAGGAGTAGTACAGGATGGATTAGTCCTCCATGACCCACCCAGGGGTTATTGCCTCTAAATTGCTCTCCTTTCCTGCTGTCCCAAGTAGCAGAAAAACCCTACAGTGGAGTAGATGAAACTACAGCCTGTGGGCCAGATGTGGCTTGGAACTTCATTTATATGGTTTATGGTCAAATGAGGCCTGTCATTTCAAAATGACTTGCAGGTGAGCATAAAGCCAGCTCTCTGTTGTGCACATGCATACTGTGAGGTGATAACATCTGTGAGTACAGGGAAGGAAAGCAGAAATACAGGGTGAGTACAGTTAAAGATGAGTCTTCATTTATCTTTCACATTATTCTAATAATGTTACAGGGTATTTTAATGTGTGGTCCTCAAAAGTTAATAATTGTAAATACTTAGCTGCCCTAAGTAAGGAAAATGTTCTCCACCCCTATATTAAGTAAGAGGCAAATGGGTGGAGGAATAGATGCTGGATTATGATCAGAAACACGGTGCCTTCTCCAAAAATGAGATTCTCTTGCTGATTGACTGTAATTTGAGGACCAAAGTTCTGTCCGTGCCAGATGTCTAATCTTTTCTGTGTGAGAGAGAATGGGAAGGAAATCTGAGTGATCTATAGAGAAGCTTATTTTTACACCTTTCTTCACACTTTTTTTTTTTTTATTTTGCACTGGGAAATATAGAATTTATTATTATGGATTAAAATGTAAGTGGAAAATATTATTTTAAAAACAGAGTATATGCATTATTAAAAGCTATCAGATAATTTTCTTCAGATAGAGGAGCAGACCTGGAGTCAAGCGAGACCAAGTTCTGTCCTTGCTCGGAACCTTGCCCTTTGTAGACATGCCCATCTTACAAAATGTTTTTCATTGAGCTGGAAGAGGGCAGTGCCATGCTAATTCCAAACTAGAAGGAAAACAGCCAGTATGTATCTCCAGGCTAGTTAGCTAAATTGAGTGGCAGGGCTTTTCGGTCTGAAACTAAATATGATCCTACTTGGGGGACTTCTGCTGTGCTGTCTTTGCATACACTGCATTGTAGATGTATAAAAAAGGGTCTAGCAGTAGCTCATAATCTTGGTTCCAGGCTTCAGGCATTTCCTGAATCAATTCCTTTATCTCACCAGTAGAGATCATGATACTTGTATTTGAAAGGCACTTTGATATTATCTCAAGAAAATAATTATTGAAGTTTATGATATTTAGAATATATTGGAACTTGGTATAAACAAATTCTACCCTACCTTAGGAGCATAGTAAAGCAGTATGTAAATCTTCCAGTGATTCAGAAAGAGTTAACTGGTGTCTGAATATTTAATACATTACTTGAACCTGTGGTCTGAACCAATCCCTAGTAAATAAGTTCACCTGTGGAGAGCAAGTAATCAATACAAGAAGGCACAGCTGCAACAGAAAGCACAGGAGGGTTTGGGGGTTTTCTGCAGAAAAGAAAACCCAAACTCAGTTTTGACTTGAAAGCCTCAAAACTCGGTTTGGAGAAGAATTAAAAAGAAATTAAGAAAAGACTGAAGCAGCTGTTTTGAATGTCAAGAAAGACACAAAAGGTAAGTTTTGTTCAGCAGTGTTCTAGGTACGGATAGGAAAATATTGGTGGGTGTAAGAATGAATCCTCATACCCTCTCTGCAGTTCTCAAAAGAAGCTTTATCTGAATGTAAAGGACTCTGGCATAAATGTAAAGAGAAGGGAGGTCTAAGATTCAGTGCAACCTGCATGTGAAGATAACACAGAGCCCTATCCCAAGAAGAGTTACTTGAAAACTCTGAGATAGAAAGTGAAGAGACAATTGGCCTGTATTTGGAAGCTGAAGAGGTGTTTGCTGATATTTAGTCTTTCTGTTGCCGTGTGACTTGGAGGACAGTCAAAAGAGGAGAGGAGGGATGCAATGGCTGTTTGTTCATGGGCAGTCTGATGGTGAAGTGGATATTTCTTCCCCTTTTAATTTTACTTTTTATGAACTGAGAGGTGTTGAGTATGGAAGAGAGAGACATCTGGATTTAACATGTGATGTTCTTTTTAAGGAAGACTATAATGGTACTAATTTGTGTATATATTTAATTCCTGTAAATATCTTCTAAAAGTTGATTTGTTTAAATGCAAAACTGACACAGGAAACAGAATTTTGGTAACTATGCATGAAATATAAATGATCTTCATTTTGAGATAAATGAAGGAGTGCTGTGCTTGCCACTTTTTCTCATCTTCTGCATCTTCAATAAAATGGTAATTCTGTTAAATATTTGTGCATTTGTAGATCAGAAAGTTAACTTACAGGATTTTGATTGAATTGAATGAAATTGCGTCACTTAATTTCAGTTCACTGAAAGGTTTTCTTGAGCATTTCATAAACAAAATGAAACTTTCAACTGTAGAAAATGAATACAGAGCAAATGTTTTGTTACATATCCAGGTTTTTTTTATCAGAAATTGAAACATCAGCTCTTTTTCACTTAATTCTTAATATTCCTAATTATGTATCATAAGTTGAAATTTGAGTCAGAACCAGCAAAAGGAGAGGAATGTGTAAATAAAGTTTTATTTCACTTGAAAGATGTATCTTGTTCTTAGTAGACTGCCAAACCACTTATGCAGGTACAAAGTCCAGGATCCTTAAGGTAATTTGTTGATAAAATGCTTAGTGTTTTTGAAGAGCTTAAGGGAACCCATATCCCCAAATGTCTAGGTCCTGTTGTCACTGTTGCTTGTAGAAAAGATTGACAAAATAACTCCTTGTAGTATAGTACCTAGAGTTTACAGAACCCATTTAAATGTTTTCAAAAACCATTATTACTAAATTGGTTTGTTTTTTGAACTGGCAGGGAAATAATTCAGTGAACTCATTCATTTAACAAAGTACCTTAAGCATGGAGTATTTTCCCTACTCAGAAGATTCATGTGTTCGTAGCTGCTAATGGTCCTTATTCAGGCAATGTGTTTATATTAATTGCCAAGACATTTATTTTGGTAATCTACATTTTCTCACATAGTATTTGGTTTGATAGATCACTGCACCTTCCCTTAGAAATATCCTTTACTAGTGTTATCTTAGTGGGGTGAATAGAGTTTCAAGTAAAAGGAAATAAAATGAGACTGCTTTTTATTGAAATCTGAGGAATTAAGAAGCTAAGTGTGCAGAACAGTAATAACCTCTCTAAAACGTAATACCTAGGAGGCTTAAAATCGTTTAAGGACGACTTTGTTTAGGGAAGGTATTAATGTGTTTGTAATAAAACAAGAATATTGCCAAGTGTCAGATTTTTAAGCTAGCATGGCTGATTCATTCATTACTATTAGGAATTACCATTTTGGAGACCTAAATCTATGTCTTATGCAGTAAACATGTGACTTCTGCCGCCTAAGTCACCTGATAGCATCTTTGCTTGTCTCAAAAGATTTAGTCGTGGATTCTGAAAAAAAAAAAAAAATGCAAGTTGTTCCATTATGTTTGATAGGAATATTTCCAGGTAGGGCTTCCAGGATCAGTGTCTACTAATGTGCTACAGTATTTTCTTTTGCGAAGGGACTTCTTAATCACCAATGAGAAATAACTTTCATGAACTGGAATCTCTTACTTGTAAAGTAGAGATTTTAGTCACTGAAGACGTGAAGCCAACACTGACTTCTAATCGGTTAATTGTGTAGATTCTCCAATGTGGTTTGCAAGTCTGCGGGGGCACGTTCAAGCTAATAAGTAGTAGCCATGCCACATTGCCCGTAGGCTGTGTACTTGTGTGGGAATGTTAGCCCCTGTGAAGGAGCTCCCACAGGCTGCGTCAAGAATGTGCAGTTGCTGTGCTTCACCTTCTGAGTCTTAGAGTTGTCTAGATCACAGACTTGGCTGGAAAGCATCACATCTCTGTCTAGATTTCCTTCCTGTGTAAATCAGAGTGCTGAGGTGTGATGCCTGAGGAGAGGAGATTTTCATTCCCATGAAGAGCTAGCTCACAGTAGGGTATATGACAACACCCACATAGCGGGAAGTGATCCAGATTCCTCAGTTCAGGCAGCACTAGGGATCTCAAGATGTGAAGTAAAATTCTTGGTGATTAACTTGATTCCACCCCCTTCCCCCATCAGAATCCAAAAAGAAAAAAATGTAGTGGAAACATTCTGTTGCATAAAATGTGATAACCTACTGCATTTTCCTACAGATCATCCTTTCATTTGTACTTGGTTAATTCATCATGGTTTTTCTCCTACAAATGAAGAGATTTATGCTTCCAATTCTATTACTTCCACATGCTTAGGGTAGCACTACTTGTAATCAGACAGTGTTTTGACATGTCTGAGTCTGTGGGGTTTTTTTATGCTTACATCTTTCTCTCTTCCATCATTGTATCCTCTTGCCCTCCAGATACATTTTGATTTAATCAAAATAAAAATAGCTTTACTGGAATGATAGCAGCAACAGCAAGGTCCGTTTTGGTTTTCAGCAGCCTGTTTTGCCTTACCAAAATTTCCGTGAGATGATATTTGGAAATGTTTCATAGTATTTTTCTTGTAGCTTTACCTTCACTTCCACAGCTCTCAATAAATATTGTTTTGAAGTATTTTTGTATTATTCTGTTCCATATTGCGTGGAGAATAGAAGCATGCTGTAGTTAAAGCAATATTTTTTGAAATAAAACATAAAGCTCAGTATGAGTGTTTTATAAGTAAAATATTTCATTTTGAGAAAAATCACTATGTAAACAACATATAGATCTTAATCATATATAAACTGGTTGCTGGTCTTCCCAAGAACCCAATAAATTCGGCCTAATATTTTGAGACTTGCTTTCTACCTGCCTCTTGAAGATCAGATTTTTTTAATCTAGAAAAATATATAATATAGATCAATAAATAAACCATATGCATATAGACAAAATGCATTTTTATAAATATATATTTAATATAATTTATTTATAAAACATGCATGTGTTTTATAAATATATATATAGTCACATATTTTCTAATTGTGTATCTCTCTCTAAAAAATAATGTATTCATTTTTTAATGCTGCTTTTAAAGTTAACCTGATGCTGGTTTTAAAGTAAGTCTTTATTGCTTTATACAGTTCCAAACAGTGTTGTATTTCCTTTGTGGTTATTATAAAATTTGTAAATGTGAAATTATGTATTTTTAATATAAACTTTTTAACACACATCTCTTGACTGTTTTTTCACTGTTTCTACTTTCAGGTATGAGCATATTCTGATGGCTCCAGACCCAGTACCATTGTATGCTCTGAAGCTGTTGGTGGCCCTGACTGAACACAGCCCTACTTCTGTGAGGTGATACAACTACGCTTTCTGTTTCAATTAACTTTTTTCCACTAGGCATTAACAATAACTTAGATCTCACTGTCATACTACTGTCCTGGTTTTGCTAGGATAGAGTTAATTTTCTTTTTAGTAATTAGAATAGCTGTATTTTACTTGCAGTGTGTCAGTTCAGACTTATTATGAGAAGAACATTGATAACAGTACTAATGTTATGAGTTGCTGCTGGAGCTCAAGGCCACGGTGTTTGGCTGGGCCACAGCTGCATTAGGACTGGGAGAGAGAAGCGCAGTGAATAGCAAAACCCAAAACTGGCATTTGGATTTGCCAATGAAATATTCCAGATCATATCACGTCATGTCAGTACATTAACCAGGGCTGACTGGAAGACAGGGGTGTTCTCTCGGGGATCACTTGGGTTCAGTCTTCCGGGGTTTTGGTTCAGGACTGTCTGGGCTCTCGGATCGTTAGCTGGCACAGGCTGGGCATCGGTCAGCGGGCGGGGAGCACTGTGTATCACTCATTTGTATAGTCTGTTATCACTGTTGTTATCATTATCATTTTATTTTAATTAGTAAATAGTTTTTATCTCAACCCGTGAGTTTCCTTGTCCTTCTTTCCAATTCTCTCCCCTACTCTCTGGGCAAGGGAGGGGGAGGGTGATAGAGCAGGCTGTGTTTGGCTGCAAGCTGCAAGAAAAAAGGTGAATCCACGCAAACCACCACAACTACTTTGACTAGCACTTAGGAGATTTAGAAAATCCTTGGAGAGTATTTGTTATAGAACACAATCTTATGTCTTATTCTGCCAATTTTCTATGATCCTGGTTATTTTAGAATGGTTTTAGCCAATGAAACACCAGAGACAAAATAATAAGAATTTTAAAATTAAAGTTATCATTAAAAACTTAAAAACAATTACTACCAAAACACTGGCAAAACCGTTGTCCAGCTAAGCATATTTGTACTAAGACAAAGGTGATGTGCTTGTACAAGGTTTAAACCAATTAACTTGAAAGCTGTTCAGTTTTACTGCAAATATAGCTACCCTTTTACGTTCCTAGATATGGATATTAATATTTGGTATGGGTGCACTCAATATGTTTAAAAGGATCTTAATGTCTCTTTCTTCTTGTTCCAAAGCTTAGGCTGTGGTGAACAAAAAAAAAAATAAAATCACAGAACTTAAACTGTATTTGTTGATCGTAATAAGGAACCATCTCTCTCACATAGATGTGTACACATGCAGCTATTCCTCTTCCTAAATCTGCCCAGAAAATGAGGTTGTTCTTGTACTGACCAATGCTTGTTCCTGGTATCTGATAGTGTCATGCCCAAGAAGTCACTGTGTACCATACTGTCTGGCTCTGATTGTTGGAAATGAGCACAAGATTAAAAAAAAAAAAAACATAAGGAAGGAAATTGAATTTGTTTTCCTACTGTTTTTATTACAAAAGATGAAAACATTCTCTTTTAATCTTTTGTGGTGCTGCTGTGAGCAGGGCTTTAATATACTAAGCAGACTAAAAAATGAACTAGGAAATAAAGTGGCTTGAGATTTTAAATAGTTTGAATACAGTAAATGTACTTAATTGTATTTTTATAGTAAAGAAGCTGTTTATGCTGCTGCAGGATTTCATGTATTATACAAATAAATAACGCCACTTTCTATTTTTAGAATTAACCTACAGATATTCTAACACTTTGAATTATAAAAGATATTTCTGTAAGTAGAATGCTGGATATTATAGCAGCACTTCCTCTGCTTAATGAATTCTCTTTATTTGAGTAATCGTGTGTATTTGCCCTTGTGCTCAATGTAGGTAGGTTGTGGATGCACGCTCATCCTCATGGTCTCCTCACAGCAGACAGCAATTCTTTTCTTAATATTATTAAAGAGCAGCTGTGGATATCCAATGAACTACGAGTAATTTTAAATACCATTGTATCCAGTACTGTTGTTTAAGGATGAGCCACTACATTCCAGGTACTAACACATCTGTAATTGTTCTGTTTCTCACATGTCTTGCTGGCCCTCTTCTTTTGCTTTCACTAAGTAATTTCTTTGGCTAGGTTTCTGAAGGAGCGGCGTTTGTGATTCTCTTAGTCTGTATTTTTCCTGATTCTTTGATTTCCCCAATAGCTTCAGCTGGAAGTAGCCGATGCATCAAAAGTGTGACAGACATGATTAGTATATTTGTGTTTGCACAAACTCCTAGTGAACAAAACAGGAACCAGGTACATGCTATAGTGAACACTAGATCACAATTAATTCTGTTGTGGTTTGATGGCTAATTACCCATGGAGCTCAGAATTACTCAAGGCATATGCTCTCTTTTGCCATTTTCGTTAGGCACATGAAAAGTGTCTGCGATTATTGTGATGGGAAGTAGATAAGTAACACTGGAGAGAAATCCTTTGGCATAAAATTTGTTCTTTGTGTAAAACCTCTACTATATTTTAGTACTGATGACAGTGATGTGAGTCACTTTTCCCCAACAGACATTAGGCACTGCTCTAGCAAAAGGGGAAAAAGGTGGCAGAAAACAAAATAGGAAGGTACTGAAGAGCAATAAAAAAATCTGCTGCATCTAAATGCCACAGATCTAGTACCTGTGAAGATGATAGATGGATAGACCTTGTACACTGCAGCAGATTGTCTTGATGAATTAAATTAACTCTTTATCATAGTGTCTTTGGAATCATCCAAGAATGGTCCCATTTTCAAACTTCATTTATGTTACTGTTCATACCCATGCATTCAAGGCCATTAAGGCACATTTTAGAGTCAGTGATAGTAATGAATTGATCCTCTTATCATACATTATGATGTTCTACATCAGCATTTGCTTTAATTTCAGTATATTCTGAAATGGTCTATCTAATATCCATGTGTTCGATTTCAAAAAATAAACAGTAAAAGTACCTCCCAAACTCTTTGGAGTTCAGTGTGATGCTTTTAATTGGCTTGTGTTGGTAGAATTCTGCGATTCTGTTCACAAGCGCTTGTTAGCATTGCGCATGGATTATCTTTGAACCTGCTGTAGTTTCTTTGCCTTGATACTAGAGGGGAAGCACTTCAGTGCTTTCCTTTCCTGGTGAATTGATTAGTGTGGGCTTATATTAATTGCTTTGAAAACACTTTGTTTTTCTCATTAGTCATTTTAATTTTTTAGTTTAAGGTTGAAGTGCTCATTTTAAAAAGTAAATCTATTTGTTTCGAAATTACTTCTCTGTTTTTATTTGTTTTCTTGTTTTCTGTAATGAGTATGAATAAAATAATATGGAGTAGTTCTGGTAACAGGTGAGCATATAGTGCCTAGTCCCACTGAACTGAAGAGTAGATTTACATGTTAAAGGTGTACAACATCAGTGACAAAATCACAGTGCAGGTGGATTGAGAGAGGTTGTCAGAGGATGATACGTTTTTATTAGAACTTTGGGGAATATTCATGTAAATTTTGAACCTCGTTCTGATGACACTTTTCACATCTATGAAAGCTGAGTTGTAAACCCCTTAATTTTCTTGTTGGAGCAATAATGCTAATATAAAACAGAAGTTATACGATCTTTGCTGTTGCTATTATTTGGTATAACATTCCCATATATGCTGCTTTATTGCGTAATGCTAGGCAGGAAGACTTACCTAGAAACAGGCTCTTGAATGTTGTGTATCAGCTAATAACACTGTTGTCAAGTCGCACATCATTGTAATTCATATCAAAGGCAGTGGTCAGAGTTCATTATTGCAAGTGAGTTCTCATAGTCTAGTCATGTACTGATTGTAATACTAATCACCGTTTTTAATGTAAAACACAACTCCTTAGTGTTACATTTTATGAAAGTTCCCCATTAGTAAAGACATTAGCTATTAACCTTATACCTGTAATTTTGTTTCCTCTTCTGTGTTGCTGATCAGTTGCTAAATGGCTAAGTTTTAAAAATGCAAGGTTACTCTTTGATGTTACTATTAAGTCAATTATTAAAAATGTTGTATTGTAAGGTTCACATATTTGATCTTTTAAAGTAAAGCATTAAACAGAAGGAGAAAAATACATTAATCCTTGGTAATTTTTACTTTCAATGGTGTACTTTGCCATTGTGAATGTAAATAGCAAATAAAAAATAAGCAGGTAATTAGCAAGGGTCAACTGGTTAGGGTACTACAGTTGGAGTTGCAGACTCGAGTAAATTCAGTTCTGACACAAATCCTCTGTTCAGCATGAAGCAAATCTAAACCACCACCCAATCCACTGTCCTGTGTTCAACTATAGGCGCCCAGAGAAGGCTATAGGAAGAAGGCAAGCGAGTGGCAATATTTCCTGCAGGCTTTGTCAGCCCTCTGAGTTGTTTTTTCAGAAGCTATAGAAGAAGGCATGGTGTCCTGTAGATAGTAGCTATTGATGAGTAATTTTCCTTTCATTTACATGGGTTCAAAAATATATTTGACAAATAACTTTCAGCATTAGTAGTTATTCCATAGCATAATCACCTGCATAGGAAGATTTATCATCTTTAGGGGTTTTCTTTGGATTTCTTTCTTTACTCTGGCACTTGCCACTTAGTTTGATGCCGTAAAGTTCTTACAGTGCAAAAGAAGCACACACTGCTTCATAAATTTCTGGCATGTTGTCTCCGTTAGCTGTACCTTTTGCAATCTCAATATTCCTGCCCATTTTTTTAAGAGCCTTTAGTAGGTGTCCTGATAAAATACATTTTGAAAGCTCAGGAGTACCATACTGACCAGCTCTCCTTTGTCCCCATGCTGACTCACTTGATCAAAGATCTGTCATGGATTTGACATTCCATCCCTTTAAAATTAATGTCTTGGTTCTTTCTGTGTGCATGGCCACCAGTTCTGTTCTTCAGAATAGCTTCTACTCATTTGTTCAGCTTAGAATGTCTGTAAGACCCAGATCTTCACTCCCCCATCCAGCTTTTCTCAAAAGTTACTCTCTGATAACTTCATGTTTTCTCTCTTTTAAATCTCTTCTATGAAAGCTGAGAGTTTTA